GGGAGTGTTACGAGTGTCGTTGAAATCAGCGATCGAAGGCGATAGGCAGCGAAGATGATTATCGAGAGTCGGCGATTGTCGTCGAAGCAGTAACCATATCGAATGTCACTCCGGTCGAAAATGTCGAACTCATTAGCCGTGTCAAATGACGGCAGCTCCTCCGGCGGGTTTGTCCAGACTTGCCGAGCTATTTGTCGCAATTCGCCAAGGGCTTCTGGGCAGAGATGAAAAAAATGCAGCTGTCTCTCCCCCCCTGCACTGTTGCTGCCGCCTCCTCTAGTTCATCGTAAGTCCTTCGTACCCCTTGAAAACTCCGTGTATGTCCCGCGCTGTTGCCCTAATGTTGTTGTCGCACGTGTTTAACCAAACGCCAAATACTTCGCCGAAACAGTCGGCGATTCTCTTTGTAAAACCGGTAAGTCCCGAAAGAAAACTCCAAAATTGTCGATCGAAAACACCCCTCTAAATCCGCAGTTGCAGGTATAGTTCGCCTTCAAAATCTTCGTGTCAGAATGTTGTATTTGTCTAGCCTGCAGTGGGGTACTCTATAGCGAGTACAGCCCAATCTAGGGTTTCCTATATGTACTCAACTGCTTGCTAGTGCAACCCCTCCTCTTTGCCTAAACTTTCTCTTGCCTAGCTAGGGTTCTCCTAGCTATGGCTCCTAATTCTACCTACTACTTTGACATGGTAACAGAGCGTTCACGCTCCTGGCCTGTGGGCCCCACTGCTGCTTCCGCTGCCCTACTCTGTGTCGCGCGCCCCGTGGCGCGCGACCTTCAAATTTTCATCCCGCCACCGTGCGCCCCGAGGCGCGCGGCGGTTTCCTACCGTGGGGGAGCCCGCGCGCGCCCCGCCCGTCCATCGCGGCGCCCTGGGGAGCACGCGCAGCCCCCACCCTGCACGTCGCAACGCCCTGGGGAGCCCGCGAGCGCCCCGCCCGTCCGTCGCGACGCCCTGGGGAGCCCGCGAGCGCCCCGCCCGTCCGTCGCGACGCACTGGGGAGCCCGCGCGCGCCCCGCCAGTTCGTCGCGGCGCCCTCGGGAGCCCGCGCGCACCCCGCCAGGCAGTCGCGGCGCCCTGGGAAGTCGCGCGCGCACCCCGCCCGTCCGTCGCGGCGCCCTGGGGAGCAGCGCGCGCCACCCCCCTCCACCCGCCCAGCCCGTCCGTTCAGGCGCCCTGGGGGTCGCGCGCCATCCCCCCTCACCATCCCCCGCGCTCCTGCCCCTATCCCACCCGTTTTAGGGTTTGGGGGTGGGGAGTGTGGGGGTGGCGGTTGTGGGGGTGCCGGTTGTGTGCCCCGTCCCCTACTCCTCCTCCTCCTTCGTCTCCCGCTGCTGCAGCTGCCGCTCAGGGGGGTGGGTGTGTGGGAGCCGAAGGAGTGGTGCTAGGGGGGTGACGTGGGAGTGGAGCTAGGGTTCCAGCAGGGGGTGTGTGAGAGGGGGGTGGGACGGTCGGGGGAGGTTGAGCGGAGGCTGCCGTCTTGTCGTCAGCAGCACCTGTAGTCCAGGCGCTGTTCCGGTAGCCCAGTCGTAGCCAGCTGCGCCAGTCGCCCGTGGGTCCGTTGCTCGTCTGCCGCACTTAGCCGCGGAGCCAGTTACTCCTGTAGTCCGGGGCGCTGTTCCGGTAGCCACTGTGCCAGTATGACTCCTGTTGCCCGTGTGTCTGCAGCTTCAGCCGTCGCCTCTTATCTCCTCTCCTCCTACAGTCTCGCCTCCTCCTCCTCACTTGCCCTTTGTGAATGCCTCTAGCTTTGCTTGCACTTGTGAACCTGCTCTATGACTGCTTGCTCTGCTGATTATACCCCACTTTGACTATGGGGGTGTGTCAGAATGTTGTATTTGTCTAGCCTGCAGTGGGGTACTCTATAGCGAGTACAGCCCAATCTAGGGTTTCCTATATGTACTCAACTGCTTGCTAGTGCAACCCCTCCTCTTTGCCTAAACATTATCTTGCCTAGCTAGGGTTCTCCTAGCTATGGCTCCTAATTCTACCTACTACTTTGACACTTCGGTCATACTATAGCCGCCCACTCGGTCACTAGCTGTTTCCGTCAATTCATCAGAACCCATCTGGGGGCATAATTTGGAACTTGGGACTAGACCGGGGTATTCCGAGACTGACTTTCACGGATCCTAGTGGCATCAATGCCGTTGACCCCCTCGTCGAAACTGCTCCCGCCGATGATGTTTTAACGAAATGTCACGCAATTCCCACAGGTGCTTTGCAGGCGTTTCACCTCATTGCTCGTCGCCGGCAGGTAAATCCCGAAACTTTGGTTGCTCACACGCTCCCGTTTTTTTTTTTTTAGAATTTCCCATGGTGTCGTTTAAACACCAATGGGTTCTAGGTATCCCCCTAGCTATGTTTCTTGCCAGGCGACTTAAAGTGACCTATGAAGCGAAGTCCCCCAACTGCTCAACCTCACTCCAGGAAGCGAAGAAACACCCTCGGCTCCAACACCTTATTATTATATTTTTTTCTCACCGTAGGAAAATCACCCGAAAACCGTGGTTGAGGATACAATCCCGAAGTTATTCTCCACTATGTAGCCCCGACGTTTCCGCCGTTAACCCTGGTACTCCGATGTTCAACCATCTTCATTCCCGTCGAAGCCACTTAGCGAATCCCAGGTATCCTTGGCGATGCACCCCTCGCCGTGCTTCCATGTGTACAATATCCGACCCTTTTGGCGTCCACCTAGTAGACCCCGATTCAAGGTGGAGTGGTGCACGAGCTCAACCGCACTCAAGTGATCTGCTGGATCACGAGAATATCGCTTGCCGCCGTTCACCCAGCGTCCGCTTTTGTCTGATTGGGCATCGTCGTTGTTGCCCGCGCGAACCCGGCCACAACGGAGGGGGAAAAACTATCGGAGTCGGGGTAGCCTTAGTTAAAAGGAACTATCGCCCAACCGTTTTGCACCCTGCCGTGCCTATCATGCCACGAAAACTCCACATCTTCCGAGTCTCAGCTTCGCCGCTGCGCTGTCAACTCGTGTAGACGCCCGGGTCAGGAGAAACCTATAAACTGCACCAATGCTTCTTTGCAGCTCCCCGATTTTTTTCGCGTGCCGTTCACCTAGCCCGCTTTTGTCAGAGTAAAACAGTGCCGTGAGCTCCACTTTTTTTTTGTCTTTTCTGGTACAGGTGTCGAACGAGCACCAATCCAAGTGTCTTCAACCAGCACAGGGTAGGCACGTGTTCACCCCCGTTATTCGGCCAAGTAAGTTGACTGCATGAGTTAGAACTAAGACTTGGTGGGGATGGTGAGGTTCGGGCGAAGTAGGGCCGCAGGTCGGTTCCACCAGCTTTAATCTGCTCCCTATGACGTTCTTCAACCCCCGCTTAGCCGTTGGGCCGTTTCTTTCCGTGTGTTTCAGCAGACTGTATCGACCCCTCCGAAATTGTCATGCGGTACGTTGGACGCCGTTTAATCGTGGGTTGTCAGCAGCTGTCTCCGAAAACAACTTCCTTGGTCAAGAGAAACCTCTCTCAAAACAGTCGGCCAGCTTCAACAACACCAAGCACGCATCGTCGCACGAGTTGTTTTCGAGATGTGCCTACTTCAGTTTCCCTCGTCGCCTGCGTCCCACTTATGTAAAGAGCGATTTAGCCACCGCGTTTTCCGTTGCAGCCTGTAAGTGTCGGCGGGTCCGAAAGTCTCGTCTGTCCACGTGCGGTCCTGTCGAAATATTCGATGACGCGCCCGCCATGCAGTAAAAGCCGCTGCACTTCAGGTCGGGCAGGATGGCAGTTAACCTTCGCTAAGTCGGTTAGTCGTCGTGCCGTCTCTCCTCGTCAACGACTTTTTCGGACGCAAAACTCCATTTGCGCCTGGCGAGTTCCCTAGCAGCCTTTTTCCCAACAGTAGCTCCAAAATTATCGCCCACAGTGACGCATGTCCGTTGTCGCCAGCTGCCGATCCACACTCCGCGAGTCACGCGTGCAAAATGATGAGGAGCCACCATTGTCACTTGCCATATGGGACGTACTCTAAAATTGTCGCGCAGTTGTTGACTCAGGTCTCATGTCGTCAACTGCCACACGATGACGAAGTCGAGACTGTTCGTGCAGATCCCGACGCAGATCCGCTGACGCCAGCTGCCACACGAATCAACCTCCAAAATCGTTGGGAAAACGCAGCGGAAATTACTTACGAAAACATCGCGACATTTACTGCTGCCCGTCGCCCGGGGGGAAGGGAGGTCACGGTCAATCGCGATCGTTCGAGGTAAGGATCTGGCGGTGCGGAACGGGTGCCCCGTAAAACTATGGCCGCGAGGAGCAACTAACTCGTTCTCCTGGCCGGCCTACACAACTCCTGAACCCCAAGACATCCTTCCTCGCCCCCCCCCCCGAGGGGTAATACACTCTAAAAAGCGGGGTAGGCTAGGAAAGTAGCTCTGATACCAGGTGTTATGAATGAACTTGCAGAGTGCGCAGGTAAAACGAATAACGAGACTGTGATTAACTGAACGATGATTACAATGAAATGGCGAGACTGGTAAATAGGGCATGTCCTTGTTAGGTGAAGAGGTCGAGCAAGGATGGCTCGGAAAGTGTTGCGATTGGAGCGGGGGCAGCTCAGGAGTGGTTTGGGGCGACGAATTAGGCCGAACTGCTCCTCGGGTTGTACTCGCTAAAACGCGGGTACTGTAAGGAATTACAACTCATAACACTAAGGATTTTGAACCTGTCCTTCCAAACTGTTATCTAGTCCGCTCACAAATAACCGCAATGGGTGTACACAGCTTGACATTTTCGCATGATCACTCCCGCGACATTCACGAACCTGGTAACCTAAAACACAATCACAGCGCCCTAACCAACCCTGTCCTTACCGTAGTCCACCGCATTCCATCATCGCCATCATTCCTCCATCCCGTCTAGAGGGGTTGTACTGTGATGTGCGGCATTGAGGCAGTGAGGGGCAGTAATAATTCCGGGAGTCATGGTTCACAAGTTTCTCCCTAGGGTACGATGCGCTGGAGGCTTGATTCAATTTGAGGTGACGCGATGATCGTGTAGCTTGACGCGACGCGTTGAGAAGGCTCGAGATTTATCCCACGAAAGCTTGTCTGCCATACATCGCTCTCGGTCGCTCTTGGTCGCCTGTGCGAGCTGAGCACGATGCGGCCCCGCCACCTCGATTTCACCGCGGGAGCTGCTCCACCGCAACCCGCGCAATTCCCGCAACCCCCCCAACCCGCGCAATCCCCGCAACCCGCGCAACCCGCGCAACCCCCGCAACCCCCGCAACCCGCGCAACCCTCGCAACCCGCGCGACCTTCCCAGCCCTCGCAACCCTCGCAACCCTCCCAACCCGCGCAACCTTCGCAATCGGCGCAGCAGGCGGCGCTGCAGTCTCGACAGCCGCGGGAACAGTCGGCGCATTTGTCACTAGAAGCACCATCCGCAGACTTGGCGAACCCTGAGGGCGCACGGAGAAGGCAGGGTGTGGCGGCGGAGACAGCAGCGCGCATGGCAGACGGTGGTGATGTGCGGGAAGCAAGCGAAAGACAACGACAGGAGCAGCAGCAGCAGCAGATGGGAGTAGCAGCGGGTCATGGGTTGCTGCACAGCTGGAGCGTCCAGGAAATGCTGCAACCTCCGCTGCCCCTGCCCATGCCTGCGCCCGTGCCTGCAGGCGGCTCGGCACGTGAAGCGAGCATAGCGGGTGCAGCAGCAGCAGCAGCAGCAGCAGCAGCAGCACCCACGCACACAGCAGGAGCTGCCCCAGCGGCACCATCACCAGCGTCGCTCGTAGCAGCAGCATCAGCAGCAGCAGCAGCAGGGGCGGCAGTGTTGGGAGTGCCATCTGCGCAGTGCCTGCCCATGCCAGCGGGCATGGCCATGGGTGTGCCTGTGCCCGTCGCACTGCCCCTCACCCTGCCAGCCCCCCTGCCGCCCGCCCCACCCCTGCTGCCGTCCTCCTCGCCCTTCACCACGTGCGCTCCTGCCTCTCCTCTTGCCCTCCCCCCGCCTCTCCTCTCGTTCGCTGCTGCCCTTCATCCTGCATGCAGTCCTTCAGGCCTCTCAGTCTCTCTCAGTCCTTCAGTCCTCTCAGTCTCTCTCAGTCCTTCAGTCCTCTCAGTCTCTCTCAGTCCTTCAGTCCTCTCAGTCTCTCTCAGTCCTTCAGTCCTCTCAGTCTCTCTCAGTCCTTCAGTCCTCTCAGTCTCTCTCAGTCCTTCAGTCCTCTCAGTCTCTCTCAGTCCTTCAGTCCTCTCAGTCTCTCTCAGTCCTTCAGTCCTCTCAGTCTCTCTCAGTCCTTCAGTCCTCTCAGTCTCTCTCAGTCCTTCAGTCCTCTCAGTCTCTCTCAGTCCTTCAGTCCTCTCAGTCTCTCTCAGTCCTTCAGTCCTCTCAGTCTCTCTCATGTTCGCTGCCACTCACCCCTCGTATGCTACCACATGCATCTAGCGCACTCTCGCTCACCCGCCATGCAACCCCTCCCCGCCCTCCCTGCGTGCCGCACCCCGCCCCTGCGTGCGTATGCGTGTGTGTGCGCGCCACACAGGGGCAGCAGGAAGCCGCGGGCAGACAAGAAGGACGCGGCCACGGCAGCAGCAGTGCTGGCAGCGGCGGCGGCACGGGAGGCAGCGGGGGGTCCCGGGGGAGGCACGCCTCCGCGCAAGCGGTCGTGCAACTGCCGCAACTCGCGCTGCCTCAAGCTGTACGCCCGCCGCCCACCTGCCCTGCCCCTGCGCCACTTGCATCTTTCTGTGCCTCCCTTTTTTGACGGGTGGAGACTGGAGAGCAGGGCGGCAGGACTCTGCCTCTCTTGTGCTGGCATGGCATGGCTGGGCCATGCGTGCAATGCCAATGCCAATGCCAATGCCAATGCCAATGCCAATGCCAATGCCCATGCCCATGCCAATGCCAATGCCAATGCCAATGCCAATGCCAATGCCAATGCCAATGCCAACGCCAACGCCAACGCCAACGCCAACGCCAACGCCAATGCCAATGCCAATGCCAATGCCAATGCCAATGCCAATGCCCATGCCCATGCCAATGCCAATGCCAATGCCAATGCCCATGCCCATGCCCATGCCCATGCCCATGCCCATGCCCATGCCAATGCCAATGCCAATGCCAATGCCAATGCCAATGCCAATGCCAATGCCAATGCCAATGCCAATGCCTCTCATTGCAGCACGGGGCTTCCTATTTCTCCCCAACCTCCTCCTTTCTACTCCCTTGCTGGCATGGCAGGTACTGCGAGTGCTTTGCAGCGGGGCTGTACTGCGAGGGGTGCAACTGCATCAACTGCTGCAACTCGCCGGCCAACGAGGCGCAGCGCCACGAGGCCGTGCTCGCCGTGCTCGACCGCAACCCCAACGCTTTCCGCCCCAAAATCGCCCCCCACAGCCCCTCCCACGCCCCCGCTTCGGTTCGCCCTCTCACCACCCCTCACAGCGCCCCCCTGCTCTCCCACTCGCTGCAGCACCACACTCGCTGCAGCACCACACTCGCTGCAGCACCACACTATGTTCCTCGAACGTCGCTTCAGCAAACACGGCAAGCCGTTGGAGTTCAGTGTTCTCGTGGCTGTAGGCCTTTAACAGCTCGCTCTGCCCCTGCCTGCCTGCCAACTCGCTGCTCTTATCACCGGCCTTGTTCGCCTAGTCCGTCACGTGCAGAGGGAACGTAGTGGACTGAAAAGCGTACTGTTATGTATAATAACCATATTCCAAACCTTGCTCCCAAGCATGTACACACCCTCCCCTTCTCCCCCAATCGTATTCGCCCTGCCCCTACCCAATCCCTCCTTTCCAATGCGTCCACCCCCCCCCCCCCCCTCTGGCAGCAGGGCGAGGCGGCGCGCGTGCACACGCCGGTGGCGGGGCGGCACCGGGCGGGGTGCCACTGCCGCAAGAGCGGGTGTCTGAAGAAGTACTGCGAGTGCTTCCAGGCCAACGTGCTGTGCGGTGCCAACTGCAAGTGCGCCGACTGCAAGAACTTCGACGGCAGCCTCGACCGTCAAGCCGTCGTTGCCGGGCTCGCTGCTGCCGCTGCTGCCGCGGCCGTGACGCCCATCAAGTTTGAGGTGCGCAGTTAACCGGAGTGGCACGGCTCCACACCGTACGCACCGCAGCACACCACATCACACCACGCATTGCGACGTGCCGTCCTTCCTTCACCTTCTTTCTTGTTCATCTCCCTCTCCCCTCTCCCCACTACCCCACCCCCCCCCCCCCAGATGTCAGCCTACCAGCGCATGGTCACCCCCACCAAGGCGTCCGCCTTCACACCCCCTGCTGCACGCCCTGGCCTGCACTCCCACACATCCCCGCACGCCCACGCACACGCTCGCACACCCTCTCACTCGCTCGCTCACTCGCAATCCTACCCTCCCTTTCGCCCCCACCACTCCCCTGTGCCTGCCCATGCTGCTCCCCATGCTGCTGCCCAAGCTGCTGCCCATGCTGCTGCTGGGGGTGCCATGGGCGGTGGGATAAGCGGGGCATGGGATGGGAGGAGCGGGGGGCACGCGGGAGGGAGTCCCGAGGGCAGCAACATGCACATGCACATGCACGTGCACCCTCCTGCTGCCTTGAGGTACGTTCTGGCTGGCTTGGGAGGGTTGCGAGGTGTGGGCAGCACGCGGTGTGTTTCCCTTGAGTGAGTGTCATAAAAAAGCAGTTTTGGAAGCTTGTGGGATGAGGTGGCTGTCGCACTGCTCAGCTCGATTCGATGCGCCCCACATGGAGGGTCGTACAGACAGAGGTGGGCAGAGGTGGTCGTACAGACAGAGTTGGGCAGAGGTGGTCGTACAGACAGAGGTGGGCAGAGGTGGTCGTACATACAGCAACCTCAACCACGTGAGCTCATTGGTTTCTTCAAGTGCAGCGCGCACATCGCACACACCAAATGCAGCCAAGCCTTCAGAATCGATGACTTGTCGTCCATCTCCCGCGTTTTTTCTCCTAGAGCTTCCCTCACTTCCCCGTCCCTTCCATCTCCTTTCTCTCCCCTAAACCCTGCCCCTGCCACTTCTCACTCACCCTGTCTCCTCGAACCCCTGCCCATACATGGTCAAAGTGACGAGTCGAGTAATACTCGACTCGTCACAGGCCATGCTCGCCGAGCATTTGCCTCGAGTCGAGCAATGCTCTGGCGAGCATTTTGGTACTTTTGGCCTACTCTAGGCTCGTTGTATATGTGTAGGCTCGGGCGAGTATTAGAGAATACTCGCCCGAGCATTGAAATACTCGACTCGCCCCTATCTGCGTGCACCTGTTGCCCTAGTTATACATTACCTACGAAAAAAGAACAAACCGCCAGCCCAGCCTAGGGTATTGGCGGCCCAATGGGTAGGACGGGGGGTCTAGGGAAGCAATGGGGAGCACATGGAAACATCAAGGAGGCCTGGTATTAATCCAGTGATCCTCGCGTCGTGGTGGACCCGTGTAACCTATTAACGCTCAAGGTTACCCTGCATGCAACCCACTGTAATGGCGACCCTAAGCTTCATTTGACGCTCTGTCAACAACCCGCCAGGCAAGTCGTCAACCTTCGCCTTACCCGTCCCCTTACCCTTACCGCGACCAGCTGACACAAGCCTGTTCTTGGACGCCAAGACTTTATCGCTAGCAGGAGGCATTGTAAACGAAACTCTTATTGTGAGAAGCGCGTAGGTGAGAAACGTCACAATAAAGCAAACAACAGCTTAACAGGAGTACAAAACTCCACAGAACCAAACGCGACCTATTTTAACAAGCCAATGGCGACGCAAAACTGGCGCGGGCTAAGCTTAGAGTTGCGTGGATAGGGTGACGACTAGGCATTGAGCCGTTGAATGTGGTGGGAAACATCCATCACTTGACGGTTCGATTGTGCATATGTTGTCAAACCTATACGCAAAGTGGTTGGGAACATTTGCCGGGCTCAGATCTGGGGTCAAATTTTCCCGCCAAATTTGACCTCGGGGCAAACTCTACGCGACGAGTTTTACATGCTCGTCGAGAAAAAAAAAACTCGTCGAGCATAAAACGAGCACGAAAATGCTCGTCGTAGCGCACGAGCATGTGACGAGCATAAAAAGCTCGGCGAGCATTACTCGGCTCGACTCGGACGAGTAATTTTGCCAAAAAATCATGCTCGACACTCGTCCCCCAACGAGCATTTCGAACGAGTCGAGTAAAAACCCTACACTCGTTGCCCATGTATACCCCTGCCCGCCCGACCTCCCCCTCCCCACATGCCCCCCAGGTCGCCCTCTCCACATCCCCCCCTGGCGGGCCTCTCCCCCTCCCACGCTCCCTCCACGTCCGCCCTGCCCTCCCCCTCGGCGGCCTCGCCCCTCTCCTCGTGGGCGGCGCAGCGCACCTGCATTCTCATGGCGGCGCTGTCGTGGGGCATTCAGCACGAGTACAGCGCGTGCAGTGAGTGGCATTCAGCACGAGTACAGCGCGTGCAGTGAGTGGCATTCAGCACGAGTACAGCGCGTGCAGTGAGTGGCATTCAGCACGAGTACAGCGCATGCAGTGAGTGGCATTCAGCACGAGTACAGCACGTGCAGTGAGCGGCATTCAGCACGAGTACAGCGCATGCAGTGAGTGGCATTCAGCACGAGTCACCGCTACGAGTCGAGTATTCTTTGTCTGTCACTACTCATGTGCCACTCGCACTCTTGTCTCATGTTTCTCTTTCTCTTGTCTCATGTTTCTCTTTCTCTTGTCTCATGTTTCTCTTTCTCTTGTCTCATGTTTCTCTTTCTCTTGTCTCATGTTTCTCTTCTCTCCCTCCTCCCTCCTCTCTCTCGTGCTCTCACTGGCTGTGCCTACCCCTGTTTGTGTGTGTGTGTGTGTGTGTGTGTGTGTGTGTGTGTGTGTGTGTGTGTGTGTGTGTGTGTGTGTGTGTGTGTGTGTGTGTGTGTGTGTGTGTGTTTGTGTCTGCGCGTGTGTGTATGTGTGTGTGTGTGTGCGTGTGTGTGTGCGTGTGTGTGTGTGTGTGTGTGCGTGCGTGCGTGCGTGCGTGCTGCGTGCGTGCTGCGTTCGTGCGTGCGTGCGTGCGTGCGTGCGTGCGTGGGTGGGTGGGTGGGTGGGTGCGTGGGTGCGTGGGTGGGTGGGTGGGTGGGTGCGTGGGTGCGTGGGTGCGTGGGTGCGTGGGTGCGTGCGTGCGTGCGTGCGTGCGTGCGTGTGTGTGTGTGTGTGTGTGTGTGTGTGTGTGCGCATGCATGTCACACCAGAGTCCAGCTCATCAGAGCCGGAGGCAGTGCCGCCAGCACAGCTAGCTGAGCGACGCGTTGCAGCAGAGGGTCCGTCTCGGTGCACCGTCGCGCAGCAGAGCCCTCCCCACAGCCCCACCGCCACAGTCAAGCTCGGCTTCCAGGGCCCCCACCTCTCTGCGGGCCCCCACCTGTCTGCTGCTCCTCAGCTGTCTGCTGCTCCTCAGCTGTCTGCTGCTGCTCAGCTGTCTGCTGCTCCCAGGGCAGAGTGTGAGCGCGCAGGCATAGCAGGCGAGGCGGGTGATGGTGGCAGGGGGGCGAGTGAGAGGGCAGAGGGGCAGGGCGGGCGAGTGGGGGCGAGCAGGCGGGCAGAGCCGGAGAGCATGGCTGGGCTGGTGGGGCACGGTGGGGGGAAGGGGAGTGAGAGGGATGGTGAAGGGCAAGGATGGCAGGGGCAGGCGAGAGAGGGAGGCGAGGGTGGAGGCGCGCGGGTGGATGAGGAGGTGACACGCGTGATTCGGGCCCAGGGGAACGCTGCTCGCGCTCACGCTCATGACAGTGCTGCTGGCAGTGCTGTTGGCGGTGGTGATGTTGATGCTGTGATGCTGAAAGGGTTTCGTGCGGAAGGTAACCGTGGAAACGTGCAGGATGAGAGGGAGATAGACCGGGTAGAAAAAAAGGAGAGGGGTGGTGGGGAAGAGATTGAAAGGGAGGAAAAGGAAGGGGAGAAAAGAGATGATGAGGAGAGGGAAGGGGAGGAGAGTGATGGGGAGGAGAGTGATGGGGAGGAGAGGGAAGGAGAGGAGAGTGATGGGGAAGAACGAGAATTGGAGGAGATTGAAAGAGAAATGAGAGAAGGGGAGGAGAGTAAAAGAGAGAGAGAATGGGAGGTAAGGGGAGAAGAGGAGAGAGGTGGGGAAGCAAAAGAGGAGGGCGAAAGGGATGAGAGTGAAGGGTCGGGGAGGCTAAGAATGAGGAGCAAAGAGAAGGGGAGAGATGAAGATGAAAGGGGGGAAACAGTGAGTGAGGAGAAGCGGAGTGAAGGATGGGATGCGGAGGAGAGAGTAGAGAAGGGGAGGAAAGGGAAGGTGAATGAAGAGAAGAGGAGGGAAAAAGGGGAGAGAGAATCAAAGAGGAGGGAAGGGAAGGACAAGGAAGGAGAGGAGAGACATGGGAACAAGACAGATGGAAAGGAGAGAGATTGGAAGGAGAAGGATCGAAAGAGGGAACGGAAGGGGAGAGAAGGAAAGCGGATAGAAGGGACTCGAGAAGTGAAGGAGAGGGAAGGGAAAAGGAGAGATGGGAAGAACATGGAAGGGCGGGAGAGAGAATGGAAGAAGAGAGAAAGTAGAGAGGGAGAAAGTAGAGAGGGAGAAGAGAAGAAGAGGGAAGGGAAGGAGAGATACGGAGAGAAGTGGAAATATAAGGAGAGAGATATGAAGAGGAGTGGAGGGAAGGAGAAAGAAGAAAAAGAGTGTTATTTTAAGGAGAACGAAGAGAAGGAAAGGGATGGAAAGAGGAGAGAAGTGTTCGGGAGGGAAGGGAAAGAGAGAGATTGGAAGGAACGAGATGGAAAGAGACAGAAAGGGAAGGAGAGAGAAGGGAAGGAGAGATATTGGAAGGAACGGGATGGAAAGAGACTGAAAGGGAAGGAGAGAGAAGGGAAGGAGAGCAGAGGGAAGGAGAGCGGAGGGAAGGAGAGCGGAGGGACGGAGAGCGGAGGGAAGGAGAGCGGAGGGAAGGAGAGCGGAGGGAAGGAGAGCGGAGGGAAGGAGAGCGGAGGGAAGAAGAACGAAAGGAAGGAGGAGAGAGGAGGAGGTAGACAGATTGTTAAGGTCCAAGAAGACCATGTGGTGGTGGGCGAGGAGGGAGGAGAGAGTGCAGAGAAGTCGGGTGTGTTGGCGTGGGGAGGAGGTGACGTGGTGAGCAGTGCAGGCGTGGGGTGCAAGGAACTAGTGGGCGCTCGTGAGAGCAAGGCGGAGCAGGGGGGCAGAGAGGAGGTGGGGAGGCCAGGTGAGTGTCCATGGCAGAGGCAGGGGGGTTCTGTGAGGAGTGCATGGGTGGGTGGCACGGAGGAGGAGGAGGATGCCCGTGGCGAGGGGGGTGATTGGCGCGTGAAGGAGGAGGCGGCGTGTGCCACAGGCACGGGTGATTGGGAGGGTGAGATTGGCGGCCGGAGCAAGCAGGGCGAGAGTGAGAAGAAGGGCGAGAGCGAGAAGAAGGGTGAGAGTGAGAAGGAGGGCGAGAGTGAGAAGGAGGGTGAGATTGAGAGGAAGAGTGAGGATGAAAAGGAGGGTGAGAGTGAGAAGGGCGAAAGTGCGAAGAAGGGCGAGTATGAGAAGAAGGGTGAGAGTGAGAAGGGCGAGAGTGAGGCTTGTTTGGAAGAGGCTGGGGTGATAGGGGAGGTGGTGGAGGAGGTGGTGGAGGAGGTGGTGGAGGAGATGGAAATGGATGCAGGGGGGAAGACATGTGAGTTGACTTGCGTGCTGCTGGGTCGCACCGAGCCACCCTTTGCTGCTGCTGCTGCATCCCTTGGTGGAGGCAAGGAAGATTCAAAAGAAGAAGAGGCAGTGGGCGGTGCGATGCTGGCAGGTGGTGGGGCGAAGGCAGCGGAGGAAGAGAGAGGGCAATCAGTGGATGCAGAGGAGAAGCGGGTGGAGGGTGGTGATGTGGAGGAGGGGCGAGGGGATAAGGGGAGGGAGCAGGTCAGCATCAAGCAGGAGGGCAGCGATGAGGGGAGAAGAGCGCGGCGGGAGGAAGAGAGGGGAGAAGGGAGGGCAACGAGTGCGCGCTTGGTGGAGGGCGAGGTGGAGGAGGGAGAACAGGAGGAGGGAGAACGGGAGGAGGGAGAACGGGAGGAGGAAGCGGTGGGAGGTGCGAAGGTAGGAGGTGGGGGGAAGGAGCAGCAGGAGGTGGGGGTGGAGGAGCGGCAGCAGCGGTCAGTGTCGCCGGGCACGCGGGCGCTGATGTGCGACGAGCAGGACGACCACGGCGACACGCTCTTCGCCGCCACCTCCTCGCCTCTCGCCCGCTCCAGCGCACTCGCCAGCAGCGATTCCGATGCTGACCTGGACGATGAGGTGGCGAGGGGTGATGTGGCGGACGAGGAGGCAGAGCAAGGTGGAGGGGAATGGGGCGCTTGGTGGGATGGCAGGCAAGTGAGTCGCAAGCGCAGTGCAGAGCTGATGGAGGGGGGAGGCGCGGGGGAGGGGCAGCGCGGCATGGGGGCGCACAGCAGCAGCCCCTCCATCGCTCTGCCCCGCACCACCAGCACTGCCCTTGCCGCCCGCCTGCCGCCCTCTGGGTTCTCGCCCTCGCCTGGCAAGGCCCGGAGGAGAAGCCTGGGAGGGCATGGGGTGGGGGGTGTTGGAGGAGCGAGGGGAAGGGAGGAGCAGGTGGATGGGAGGAGGAGCGTGAGTGCTGGTCATGCTGCCCATGCTGCTGCCGCTCACGCTGCTGCAGGTGCTGCAGCAGCAGAGGTGGGTGTGATGGATGATCCACGAGTTGCCATCCGCCTTGCTGCTGTGCGGTCGGCACGGGCCACAGCAATGGGCCAGGGAAGGGGGTCGTTGGCAACAGGAGGGGCGAGGGGAGGGGAGGCGTGGGATGGGAGGCGGGCGGTGCAAGAAAGGGCGGTGCAAGAAAGGGCTGTGCTGGAGTTGCTGGAGGACCACCTTTTGCAGATCGCCGCCCACATTGGCGCCCCCGCCTGCTAGCGGGCTGCCAGGGAAGGACAAGGCATGGGAAAGGCACATTCCATAGAGTATGTGCACATCTGTGAGGGCTTAGCGGTGCAGCCAGGGCTCAAAATTGGTTTTTGGCCACCCCGGGAAATCAGGGTGCCAGCCAGGCCTACCCTGACTGGTAGCGCAAAAAACAAAATGGCCTGACAAAATCAGGGGAAAATTTATTTTGGTCTGTTAGTGGCTGGGTAAAAATTCATGTACACTGCTTCTGCGGACACTCTATATAAAGAGTTTGAAGTGCTTAAACCACATGTCGTAGTCAGGCCCTCAGATTCACTTTTAGGGACGTTGATGCTGTTGGAAACAAGTGATTTAACGCTTCTGTTGCGTTGGAACATCGAACTGCAAGCGAAGCAAACAGTAACAAAGCAACAGCGAGTCAACCGAGGAGGTTGACAAAACGTAACAGCTGGAGGTTACGCGAAGGTCAAAGGTCGACGACCTTTGACTCGACAAAAATAGCGCGACAGCAAGGACAAACAACTGACTCGCTATTGAGCAGTTGCCCGAGTCGTCGCTGTATCGAATCGCAACAGCAGAAGTTACAATTACAGTTACAAATAGCAGTTAACTAAAACCTTTCGTATTCTCTTGTAATCATATAAAAGCTTGTATTTCTTTTGTTTTAATTAATCTATCTTGCCCTCACATACCAGCGCAAGGTGGTTCAAACACTTGTCATTAAACGCTTCCGCAATTACAACATCTCTACTAGGAGCTTTAGCCTTGAAAGATCCTAAGGGCTTTTCTCAGCCCAACAGATGCATCAGGGTCCTTGTGAAAAAAGGGTGATTTTCATTGTTCCTTGAAGAAAAAGCCTGATTTTCCAGGGTTATTACTTTCATGCACCTGACACGATCACAGTCCTCAAGAAACATGACAGCCGAGGGCCTCGAACCGTGAACCCATGGCACCCACATGTCTCTATTTTCATCTTGGGTGTTTTACATGAAGGATTCGGAATGTGCATTCAGTGTACATTTTGATAAAAATGCTGGAAAATCAGTGTTAACTATGAAATGAAGACTGAAAAATCAGTGTCACTAAAATCAAAAGTCTAAAAATCAGTGTAAGTACCAAAAAGTAGGCTGAAAATCAGGAATTTCATGGGGGAAACCCCTGATATGTGAGGGCCTGGCGCTAATACAATCTAGATCACTAGCTACTATATACCCTATGTTAAACTGTATTATGCTTGTAGGCTGTAGTGGGGTAGCCAATATGGGGTACAACCCCAACTAGGGTTTCATATTTGTACCCAAACTTCTGTTAGTTCAATCATTCTTGCCTAGCTATTCTGATATGGTATTCAGAGCAGGAGGTCCCTAGGACCTACCGACCGTTTTTTAAGGGCCCACCACCGCTCGCATGCGGTTACCACGCTACCCCGTGCCCTAGCCTCGTAGCGCCCTCGTGCGCCCTCGTTAGCGCCCTCGCGCGCCCCTCGTTAGCGCCCTCGCGCGCACCCTCGTTAGCGCCCTCGCGCGCCCCTCGTTAGCGCCCTCGCGCGCCCCTTGCTAGCGCCCTCGCGCGCCCCTCACTAGCGCCCTCGCGCGCCCCTCGCAGTGTCGCCCGCCCGCCGAGCCGCCCGCTCGCAGCCCGCTCGTCCTGCTGCCCGCTTCGCAGCCCGCTCGCCCGCTCGCTGCCCGCTTCGCGGCCCGCCCGCCACGCAGCCCGCCCGCCCGCTCGCTGCCCGCTTCGCGGCCCGCCCGCTTCGCAGCCCGCTCGCTCGCTGCCCGCTCCGCGGCCCGCCCGCTTCGCAGCCCGCTCGCCCGCTCGCTGCCCGCTTCGCGGCCCGCCCGCCCGCTCGCTGCCCGCTTCGCGGCCCGCCCGCTTCGCAGCCCGCTCGCTCGCTGCCCGCTTCGCGGCCCGCCCGCTTCGCAGCCCGCCCGCCCGCTCGCTGCCCGCTTCGCGGCCCGCCCGCCTCGCAGCCCGCTCGCCCCGCTGCCCGCTTCGCGGCCCGCCCACTTCGCAGCCCGCCCGCCCGCTCGCTGCCCGCTTCGCGGCCCGCCCGCTTCGCAGCCCGCCCGCCCGCTCGCTGCCCGCTTCGCGGCCCGCCCGCTTCGCTGCCCGCTCGCAGCGCCGCCCGCCCGCCCGCTACCTGCTTCGCAGCGCCGCCCGCTGCCTCACTGCCCGCTTGCTGCGTCCCCTCTGCTGCTGCCGCTGCTCTGCTGTGCCCTCACGCCTGAGCTATGGCCTCTATTCGCGTTCTTTCCTTCGATGCTGAGGGCCGTCCCGTGCAGTTCACTTCCTGGCTCGACGACCTGCAGTTGTATCTTATGAGCAATAGCACGGACCACATCTCCCTCTATGACTACGCGTCTGGTGCTGCCGCTGCTCCTGCTGCCACAGCCGAGCTTAGTGTTCGTTCCCACTGGCAGACTCGTGACGCAGCTGCTCGCCTAGCCATTCGTAGTCACCTGCCGCTAGCTGAGCTCGAGCATTTTGGCGACTGCAAATCCGCTAAGGCCCTGTACGATGCTGTCGTTGCTCGCTACTCCTCGCCTGCCACAGCCGAGCTTAGCCGCCTCATGCTGCCGTACCTGTTCCCCGATCTGTCCACCTTTACTACAGTCGCCGATCTTATCACCCACCTTCGCACTAGTGATGCTCGCCTGCGTGCCGCCCTTCCCACCGAGTTCTGCGCTAAGAACCCCCCTCCACTGTACTGGACACTCCACTTCATAGTCACCCGTCTCCCTGACACCCTCCGCTCAGTTCGAGACCACTTCCTTGCTCGCTGTCCCACTGAGCTCACAGTCGCCCTCCTAGAGGAGCAGCTGCTCGCGGCCGAAAAGAGCATTGTAGCTGTTGGTGCTGCTCGTGGCGCTCCTCGCACCCCCATCTTTGAGGGGTGTTCTCCCTCTCCCCTCGCTCCCTCCTACGCTGCTGCTGCTGCTGTTGACTTCCTTGGTGCTGAGTCTGCTGGCGCTGCTTCTGCTCCTGGTGGGAGGCGCCGCACCGGCAAGGGCAAGGGGGGCAAGGGTGGTGGTGGTGGTGCTGGAGGGGGAGGAGGTGGGGGAGGTGGGGGGGGAGGCGGTGCTGGAGGGAGCGGTGGCGGGAGCGCTGGTGGGAGTGGGGTCGGTGGTGGAGGCGGGGGCGGCGGCGGAAGCAGTGGCAGTAGTGGCGGCGGCGGCGGTGGCGGCGGTGGCGGTGGTGGCGGTGGTGGCGGTGGCGGTCGGAGCGGTGGTAGTGGTGGCGGCGGCGGTCGGAGTGGAGGCACTGGCTCGGGCCAGAGCTCCCAGCAGCAGCAGCGTCCCCAGACGACCCAACAGCTTCGTGAGTGGCTTGCTCAGCGTGGGACGTCGGGGGGCAGTGGCCGCTGTTCTTATGTCATTCGCACAGGTGACCGCAAGGGACAGACGTGTGGGAGGTTCCACACCCCGTACCGCTGCTTCTCCCGCCTTGACGACGCTTGGCGTGAGGAGATGGGCGCGGATGTTGAGCGCCCCCGCTGGGCTGAGCTCATGAGGGCTGGTGTTGATGTCTTTGCTCTTGACTATGATGCTATTATTGCTGCCATGTATGCATTGACTGTTAGTGCCGAGGGAGACTGTTACTTGTGTGTGCCGCCTGACCCAGGTATAGAGCCCGCTGCCCTGGGTACTAGTGAGTCTGCTCTCTCTGGTATGGTGCCCCCTGTACTTGCTCCCCCCAGTGCTGTCCTGGCTGGTTTCGAGTCTGCTCTCTCAGGTACAGCACCCACAGAGACTGCTCTCTCAGGTACCGCACCGGCTGAGGCCTGTCACACCTTCACCCTTGACTCAGGTGCTTCCCGTTGCTTCTTTCGTGACAGTACTGAGCTCACACCGCTTCCTGCACCGGTCCCAGTCTCCTTGGCTGACCCCTCTGGGGGCCCAGTCCTTGCCCAGTCCACCACTGTCCTCCCTTGTCCGGCGGTTCCATCTGGCTCGTTGTCGGGTTTCCACCTCCCCTCGTTCTCGACGAACCTGGTGAGCAACGCTGTCCTCCAGGATCAGTGGGTTGACACCTTTACCCCTGGCGGACAGCGTGTGGCGATCTGCACGTGCTCCAGGACCGGCCGTCACCTGGCTACGTTTACCCGTCGGCCGGGGTCGAGTCTCTACACACTGACCACTGCGTCTCCTCAGGTCGCTGCTGTCGGTCAGGTGTCTGCGTCAGGTCTGGTAGCCCACGCCTGTGAGTGTCGTTCCCTGTCGCACCAGACTCTTCTCTGGCACCACCGCCTGGGTCACCCCTCCTTGCCACGCCTTCGTGGCATGCACCGTCGCCACCTTGTGTCTGGTCTTCCCAGGTCCCTCCCTCCCCTCCCTGCCTCGCCTGCGCCGCCTTGCCTTCCTTGCGTCGAGGGGCGGCAGCGCGCCGCTCCTCACTCCTCCTCGTTCCCCCCGACAGAGGCTCCTCTGCAGACCCTCCACCTGGACGTGTGGGGCCCAGCCCGCGTTCGTGGTCAGGGCGGTGAGCGGTACTTTTTGCTGGTTGTCGACGACTACTCGCGTTACACCACGGTCTTCCCCTTGCGCACCAAGGGTGAGGTCCCTGCTGTTCTGATCCCTTGGATCCGCACGGTTCGTCTCCAGCTCCGCCGCCGTTTCCGGACGGATCTTCCTGTCCTGCGTCTGCACTCTGACAGAGGTGGTGAGTTTTCCTCCGATCTCTTGAGGACCTTCTGTCAGGCGGAGGGCATCGAGCAGACCTTCACGCTTCCGGACTCCCCACAGCAGAATGGGGTTGCTGAGCGCCGCATTGGCCTGGTCATGGAGGTCGCTCGTACCTCCTTGGTCCACGCGGCGGCTCCCCATTTTCTGTGGCCGTTTGCTGTCCGGTACGCCGCGCATCAGCTCAACCTCTGGCCCCGTGTCTCCTTGCCGGAGACCTCGCCCACACTGCGTTGGACGGGGGAGGTTGGCGATGCATCGCGCTTCCGGGTGTGGGGTGCTCGTGCCCTTGTCCGCGATACGTCCGCGGACAAGCTCTCCTCCCGCACG